GTGTCAACTATGTCTTTCGTAAGAATTTTTCTCTTTTGGATAATGACACTTTTACTTAACTCGTTGTACCTTTCTTAAAGCGAGGTTGCAAACATTCTTGTTGATAAACAAGAGCAAATTAACATAAATTCTTAAAAGTCTACAGTCCGCTTACCTATCGAATGTAAGTATTAATATAGCCACGTGATAATTGGAAACGCAGCAAAGAGAAACAATAAGTATCGAATAATTATGCTATTGTTATTATATGAAAAATGGGAAAGCTGAAAGGTCACAAAAAAGTGAAACATTAGAAACAGAGAGAAAGTTGACACGAAGGCCGAGATTTATTTTTATTTTTTCTGTTTACATTCGACTGAAGTCGAGAAAATGGGTCGAGTGTTGTTAGTCCAGTTTTGCAGCCATAGAGATAATTATCAGAAGGAAGGTCACCTTACTGTACCCCCACAACCTGGGTTGAAAACATGATATTTTGTAGTTCACATCAAAGTATAAATCCTCACACAAAATGGGATGCCCACTTGCATATTTAAGGGGTGAAATTAATTCCTAAAAATCGGTGGTTTTTTCGGTTTTCGCTGATATCTTCGAAACTAAAATAGATACGGCAAAAGTTTAAATACCAAAGTTATTCATTTTTCAGTGCTCTGCAATAATATGTAGTTGAAAATTATATAGAAATTATTTATTTATTTTATTTTCATAAAAAACGTGTTATTTTATACATTTTCCTTTATTTTGTCATAATAAACTTAATTGTTTCGACTCAAAATTCAATGATATCAATCTACATTCGTTTTTTCCGTCTCAAGAACTCATTAAACCGGAGAGTTATTTTTTGTAAACGCAAAACAGTGGTTAACCGAAATCTATTTTCCGAATATTGGCGACAACAGTGCACTCTTAATCGACTCCTGGAGTGGAGTCCAAAAGTAGTTAATATAGTAACTCCTCCTAACAAAAAAATTGTATGAGAAATTATTCCAAAAGGAACAACAGGACAAATACAACCATTAAATGTGTTTCGTTTTCGAATATGGAAAAATTTTGTTAGGTATTTTTCGGATGTAGTAATTCTTTCCGGTAGCGATGTAAATCTGCATTTAAGAAATAACATCATCAAACTGCAGTCACTTGTTCACAATCAACTTTTTTCCCCACGTTATATTAATATGTTTAAATATGCATGGTACAAAAATGGCTACACAGAAAAAGCACCCCCTGAGTTCATTAATCCGGTGACGTTTGGTTTTGGAGATAATTCGAAATCACGATGTCACATTTGTGGTGATTTAGCTGTTATAACATGTTCTTAGTGCAAAAAACCTTTGTGTCTCAAACACTTCTTTGAGGAGTATCATTATTGTAATGAATATATTCCATAATATGAAAGTGAAGAAACTGATAAGTGCATGGCCTGCTTTTTCCTCCTGCTTTCATGAGTACTAGACATCTTAATAGCTCTAATACATGAATTAAAGGCTTCTAGTAAATAAAATGAAGACATGTATATTAAATAAAGTTTTATATAGAATGGAAAATTGAAAAATCATTGAATTTTAAGTCGAAACAATTAACACTTCGTCTGTAAACGTTTTTTCCGCACCTCCCGTCTGTAAACAAAAAATGTCTGTAAAAAATTCATGATACTTTTCGAAATATTCATTTTGAAGTACCAATTGTAAAATTCTCGAAAATTTAATTGCTTCATAAATATTTTGTTAAACAAATGGAGAAATTGGGGAAAAATCTTTAATTTACGAAAACAGTTGTAACTCAGTGAAAAATGAAGATAGCGTAATTTTTTGAAATGCAAATAAAAGGTGAAAAGTGTAGCTTTAAGAAAATCATCACATCGTTTCGTTTGTTTAAAGCTAAATGCTTAAGTTTTGGACATGACAATAGGCAATAAATTATGTACGATGCATTGCTATTCACACATTTTATTAGGAAAAAACGTATCGTTTTTTTATAAAAAAAAAAGGTATCTTACATCTATTATACAACAAAAAAAGTTAATTACATTTAGTTGCTGTCATCACCTCCAAAATATGTAATATCTTCGCGTTGACGCAGTACGCGCGTGACTTCTTCAGCCGATCGCTGCTCCATTTTGAAAATGCTAAAAAAAAATTCCGAACAATTTTTTAGGCATATCAAAACAAAATAAATGTATCACCTAAAACACGATAAAACAAAAAAAAAATTCACTCACTTACCTGTTTACTACACGCCGTCTGTAAACGTGGGTCGTTCGTGTCCACTCCGAAATCTGCGCACTCGTCACTACTGTCTGGAAGGTACTAGAACACTGAAACTTGGGCGTCAGTTCCCCCTCCTATACAACTTTTCTTAGGGATAGACGGGACCGTCCGCCCTTCCCCTATTTCCCAAGTATAAACCGAAATTGTTTTTGCTCAGACACGAACGACCCACGTTTACAGACGAAGTGGTTAAGTTTATTATGACAAAATAGAGGAAAATGTATAAAATAACACGTTTTTTATGAAAATAAAATAAATAAACAATTTCTATATAATTTTCAACTACATATTATTGCAGAGCACTGAAAAATGAATAACTTTGGTATTTAAACTTTTGCCGTATCTATTTTAGTTTCGAAGATATCAGCGAAAAACGAAAAAACCACCGATTTTCAGGAATTAATTTCACCCCTTAAATATGCAAGTGGGCACCCGATTTTGTGTGAGGATTTATACTTTGATGTGAACTACAAAATATTATTTCTTCAACCCAGGTTGCGGGGGTACAGTAAGGTGACCTTCTTTGTGAGAAAAGGATTGCAAGAAATGCGTGATACCATGGCATCCTCACCGAAGGTTGGCACGTCTTTAGAATATTCCATTGGTTCATGGAATCAGAGCGAGTCAAGGAATAGGTAGCTAATGACCTTACTCGGAGAGGAGAACGAGCGATTATTGACCTCAATGTAGTGAAGAGCACGTGTAGTGTGCGATAACAGCGGTAAGGCATAGGCCCTTGATATTGCCGAGAGTGATCGTGAAATGAGCGCACTTAACTTCACGGCAAGTAGTGGTAGGACCCTCGATGTAATACTCCAATTGGATGTCAGTCAGGGGGTTGATTGTTACATGCACGTAAAGATGACAAACACAACTCGAGTTGATCACATCAACGACCAAAAACTAACTAACCTCTCGATTAGACGAGAGGGTGCTATCCTTTACGCGAAGACAAACGCATGAAGATCGAAAATGAATCCTGCTTGGACACGCAACGTCGCCGCACCTTTTGTTGATTTGTTTAGAAGTTTGTCCGCGAGTGAACACCCTCCTAAGAGGCAACAGCAAGGGTTCCTGGATGACGCGACAAGGGAACGCCACTTGACTTTTGTGAACGACGTATTTTCGTGCACATCTTGGTATCGGAGTTTTGTTTGTTTCATGAGTTGGCTGCGCGTGCAGCGGACACGCGGAGGGACGACCCCTCACCTCGATTTTGACCAAGGCACCAAGGTCCGTCGACCGGCAGGGTTCACTGACTTGATCTTTTGTTTCGAATGGTTGGATTAGAAAGTCTGTAAGGTATTTCCGAATTGATTCGTGTCGTTCCACCCGTAAGGAACTTTTAATTTTGATTTTGCAACGCGTAGAACGCGTACAGGTCCTTGACGGTTGGTTATCATGTTGTGGTGAACGCGGATTAACCGCGTCACAATTTGATTTGGAATTCGTAAGGTACGCGAAGTACCCAGTAATATTTTTCTTTGAATTGTACTTCTGTTATCGTCTTTTACTGTTCATTCATTACTTGTAATTATAAATTCGGTATTGTACAAAATCGTCGCGCTTCGCGCCGCCGATTTTCTTTAATAAACCGAACCTTTTTGATATAATATCGAAGTCTCCGGATTCTTTTGTGTGTCGCGTGATCGTCTGACCCATCCGACCTATTGTTCCGAATCCCGACGCCTCTGCGTAGCTGTGTTAACCAAAGAAGGCACGCGAAAACGAATCGTCGGGATTGATACGTGGTTCCCGTTTTGGAACCTAGCACTCAACAATACCGTAGATATTTCACATTAAAGTTTGTTAGCCCCTGGGTTGCCTAGAACGCGTAGGAATCGGGTAAGTTGTGCGCCGGTCGGTCTTGCATTTTCCGCTGAGGCTCGATCGCTTAAAATACGTCACAACATATACACGGCGGTGTCAAATCGGTTTAGTTAATACTGATCTAAAAGGATTGGGAATACTCAATATTCTTTAAAGGTACAAATGTCTATGATTTGTCAATTCCTTTAGATTAGTATTAACTGAACCGGTAAAGACCGTCATGTAAACTTAGTCATTGAAATAACGAATGTGTAGTGCAATTAATGTTACATAACAATAAGCGCGGCTAAACACTCCTACAGCTTGCGTTAGGCACTAAACAAAAATAGAGTTTCCAATCACGAGGTTCTACTCCAATTAACTACATCAGTGAACCATAAAAAGTGTTAGATAAGAACAACTTTGTCTTTCCAATAATAGCTTCTAAAATAACGTTAAATAAATTGCACACAAAAATTACCAAGTTGATATAATAATATGCTTCTTTAAATCTTTTATAAGAGATTACAAAATTCTACATAGTTTGTTACAATTTTTATCAGATATAGAACGAATTAAAATACAAAAAATATGTCATAATAATACGTAATTCAAAATAAACTCAAAAATGTTCAAAAATAGATTATTTGATATTAATAATAATGCTGAACTGAGGATAGAAAAACCACGAAATAATCTACAAATTATAATACTAAATTTATGCTAACTACGCTAATGAAATCAAGTTACGGATAAAACTTATCGTTGTACCTATTATTATTGTTGCTTTTAGGTATGTACTGGGATTAGTCGGGGATATTTCTTTATTTAGTATGAACTTTCTTGTAATCTTTCATGGTATTTTTTGATTAAAATGTATGAAATTTTGCAAATACTGAGTATTTACACTTGAATTCTCACAAATAGTTGTAATTATTGCCATTAAAATTTTATTTTTCTCACAATCTGTTATAAATTTTACTGTAGTTTCTTGTCATTTTTCTACGCTAATACGTTTCCAATTTTGAAAGAGTGCATGTGCAAAATTCCTTTTTCTGGCAGCAAATAGGAAATACAGAGTCAAAAGCATTTTAATGGAATACAAAACAAAATTACAGGTGTAGCAAATTATATAAAACTGATTACATTTCTTATTATCAGAATAAGGATCTGATAGTTTGTCATTCTATGTTTGAAAACGCATATAAAACTAAACGTAATTATATATCATATTTGCGAATATCGACACTATACGATGTTGTCTTTGGTTATTCTTTTTGAATGATTTGGTGCGTGTTCCCTAGCAATTACATACAAAACATATACTTATAATAACTAACTTTTTAAGATGTAAACTACATCTTGACCAAAAATCCTACAGCTATTATACACTAATCTTACACTTACGTCATATTGTCCGAACGCTTATGCACATAATATAACAACATAAAAAAAAGTAAAATCCACGCGTTACAGAACAACAGGTTTGTAACTCATTTGAAAACAAAATAAACATATTCATCAACGCATATTGTACACATTTGTTTCACATGTGGCATTTCCCTATTTATCGCTTATTGGTAGATTGTTCCGTTCTGTGATCCGATTATGTAGATTTATACCAATACAAACACTTGGCATCTGGTTGACAATCACGCGTTATACTTAATTTACAAGAGAAAAGTCCGTCATCACTAATCATACGCAGCATGTCAGTGCTATTGACATGAAGACAATCATCATAAATTTTTTTAGAAGATGAGCGGCAAGAAGGAACCTAAAATAAAAAAAGTTCAGAAATGAAATTAATTTTGATTAAAACTGCTGTTCAAGGAATGCCAATATTGGAATCTGTACTACCTAGCTCCGGCGTCATGGAAATACGAAAATACCAATATTTTTTAATTAAGGGGACTCAGAAGTACATTATAATATCAAAATTATATTGTAACTTAATAAGAAAGTGATAAAGCAATTCTCATTTAAACGCAGTGCACGCACGTGTTTTCATTCTGTAAGTAATGTTACATAATATTTTTTTGCAGAATAATTGACAAGTGAAGGTGTGAGTTGCATACGATTTTTTTATGTAACTCATGCATGAAAAACACTACTTTTCGTGCCTTCGAAGTGTGGCGAAAGTGGCGTTTGATATCTATGGATACGATAAAAATGCTGCTCATGCGCAAATCGGCCCAATTTTACATTATCGCACTAGTGCTTTCTTCTCGCACTAGTACGATAAAGTAAACTTTGTTCTCGCGCGCTGTCATGAAATGCATTCACTTTGGAAGGCTTTCTTGCTCTTCTTATGGCTGTCTCTTTCAATGAAGAAATGTTCAAGTCACTTTGGAGGCACAAAAAGTAGCACTTTTCATGCATTCATTAGAGAAAATATTATGCGATACTGGTGCAATAAAGCGAACATTATACGCAGGTCGTGAAGTTTGTCACACTCGCCCGCACTCATATCACAAGCACTGTGTTACTGTGCAGCTCGTGCGACCAACTTCACCGCCTGCCTATAAAGTTCGTTTTCTCACACTCGTGTCGCAAAGTACTAGTATACTTCTCATATCCTTATTTCACAATTACTCCTTACTAAAGTACTATTTCAGTAATTGTGGAACTTACACAAATATACATGGACCCCAGTTCGATAAAGATAATGGATCAACATATAGTTTACGATAGTCACGATTGGTATATCATGATGACCATTGACGCTCCCCAGTCACCTTAATCTCATTATCAAAAAAATGATTTAAAATAAAATGAAGTAGCAAGTGATAATGGAAAAGTTTTTCATACTTTTAATGTCATCACATATTCTACCCACACTACCGTTGAGTCCTAATTGAACAGCAGTTTAAAAGAGGGAAATGTCCATGCTCTGAACAAAGGCACACTTGATATACGAGACTTACGCTTCCTGTGAAACTGGAATTTCTACGTCTTCCTTCTACTTCGAGTTTATATTCGAATTGTTTTCCTATAGATGAACTATTCACAATTTGCAAACATCCACATAAATCACCATAATCGTCAAAAACGATGTTGAGAAAAAAAAGGCCCATTTCCTTGATGCGAAGAGCTATATCAAAATCTGACTTCTTCAAATAATTTATTTGCCAATCTTGTGTGTAAGTTTCACCATCTGGGCTAGATAACTGAAATACATGAAGTATTACATTAATAAATTAACAAAATCCAATTGTTATACTTATAAGATTACTTTACAAAGGTTATTGAGGTATTACTTCATAAAGTTTATCTTCATGGAAATATCGAACGTGAGGTATCATTCTACCATGTGGCAATTCTGCTAAGCAAAATCCCACACGACATGGAAATATTCCTTTCCCGGCTTTTGGTAGTTCTGGTTTCTTTACATCAAGTGGTATAGGTTCAGTACCAGTTGCAACATCACAAAATTGTTTTACTGTAGGTTTTTTATTAATAGCATCCATTGGATTTATCAAAGATAACTGGAAAAAATATACAGCAGCTCAATTTATGCTCACTTAAATTAGAATCATTTAATGGAACATATACGTTTCTTCTCCCGAAAAAAGGTCAATTTTCAGGAATCTGTTGAAAGAACAGTATTGATCCAAGTGACTACATTTTTTTTATTCAAAGGTGCATGATTTAACATTAACCCTTATGTGCACACCCAACTTTTACCACGTTGATACGCACACAGCTAGCGCGCGATCAATTCTGACCTTCGGCGACCGACAGATATTCAAAATTTAAGTAGTAGAGATAGTAGATTTTCTCTCTAGCATCAAAACAAAGGCCTTGAACTGCTGTGCCTTATTCAGAATCATTCTGTTGAGGAGGACAGACGTGTACTGCGGAAAAAACTGGGAACACGTGTTGAGCGCATAGCAGCGCGTTGGTAGAGCGTCGCCACTGTTCTAATTCTGTTCTGTTTATAATTTATCGTTGTGTGACAAACAATTGATTTTTAATATTTCTGTAACTGTTGTATAATTGTTTATCGGTGTAGAATTAATTACATTATGGAGGAAGAACTATCGACATCTGAATTTGCAAGGTAAATATTATTTCCTAATATATTTTTTTTTGCTTTTTCTTGCTTATATTATATTATATTTTTCAATTGAAAAGTTTATTTTTATTAAATCCAAATTGAATTGTGCTTAAAGAGATAAATATTTGAAACGTCTACTTGGAGACTACGATGAAGAATTAGAGTTCGAAGACAACAGTGAAGACGAAGACTGGCTGCCGGGTCAGGCTTTAGTCGAAGGGCCGGCATCAGATACGGGAACTGCAGGCGAAACGTCCGAAAGAGAAGGAGAGAGCGATGCTGAATCCGACGAGAGCGAAAGCGAGAGTCAAGCGGTAGATGAAGCAATTATAGAAAATGAAATGAGTACATAGCGAAAGACAAAACCGTTTGGAGTAAGATGCCGCCTCAGATACATCAAACTCCTTCTCACAATGTTTTAAAGCAAAGAATCTCTTTCGATTAATAAGAGATACTTTCAAAAGAATTATTACAGTCGAAATGGTAGATCTGATTGCTCGGTATACTAACAATAAAGCTAACATAGTATATCATATATACCATAACGCGAAGAATCAAGATTCGCAGCAATTGTGGAAGCCAGTAACTATACAAGAAATTTATTCGTTTATTGGGATTTTGATTTGTTCTGGGATTAATAATTCAAATATTGATCATACAATTGAAATGTGGAGAAGTACTTCATACTCTCTTTACCGCGCGGTAATGGGTCTCAACAGATTTCATTTCATAATGCGATTTACACGATTCGAGAACGCCAATAGACGCAATACATAAGTAGAAAAGGATAAAGCTGCTCCTATACGTGAGATTTGAACAATGTTCAATTCAAACTTGAGTAATATGTACAAGCCGACAGCAAATTTGACAATTGGTGAGCAGCTTTATCCTTTCCGAGGCCACACAAAATTTACGCAATATATGTATACCTTCAAAGCCAGCTAAGTACGAGATCAAAATTTGGTGGATTTTCGATGCCAAGAATGCATACCTTCTGCATGGGATTATTTATTCAGGAAAAACTGGAAATTTTCGTAAAAGAAAATCAAGGAGAAAGAATTGTAAAAGAACTTGCAGCATCATTCAAAGGAAGTGCCAGAAATATTACTATGGATAATTATTTTACTACTTTACCTCTTGTTAAACACTTATTGTTATAGAAATTAACTGTTGTTGGTACTTTGAGAAAAAGTAAGCTGTAAGCTGTAAAAAGTAAAAGTAAGCTGTAATTTTACTGTCGACAATGCACTCTGATTCTGCATTAAATGATGATGTAAAGAAAAAGCCTCACATGATCACTTATTATAATTAAAAACAAAACTGGCGTAGATACAATGGATCAAATGGTAACTTGATACACTACACACTCAGAGATGGCCTCTTGCTATGTTTTTCAATATCGTAGACGTAGGCGCTCTTGCTTTATATATAATTTATTATCAGAACAACAAAATGATCCAAAAGAAAACTAATCAGCGTCGTATTTTCTTGCGTCAACTGTGTGAGCAATTGGCAAAATCTTTTACTGAAGATCGTTCTGTGAATTGCCAAATAATGCGCAACTACAATACAAAAATCGCCATTGAGAGCGTGATCGGGCTACAGCTTGCTCCTTCCGCTGGTTCTGAAAAACAAACTCAACCTCGAGACACTACTGGTAGGGAAACAATTGTAGGTTCTTGTCATGCTTGCTACAAACAAACGATCAAAAGACGCAGGAAAACGCGAGAATGTTGTTCAGTTTACCAGAAGCCTGTCTGCGATGAACACTGTGTATCGACAATTAAATGTATTGATTGCCCTAAATAAATATAAATGCACTCTAATTTACCTTAAAAATTATTGTAATTGTTCTTTTACTAACCCCTGTTACCTCAATAAAATAATCATCAATAATATTAATTAATTCCGGAGTCAAAACATCATTTTTCATCTAGTGGGTACCGAGTATGGCCACTAAGCACATGTACTTTGACGTCTTTTAATTTAGATTCAAAAAAATTTGAAAAAAATTGACCAATGTGTTTTTAGCTTTCAAAGGGGTTATATAATTGGGATCTGAAGGCTCAAGTCGAAATTTCAATTTTTATTCGAATTATGAGCAAAAATATGACGAGGTGGGCACCCGGGTCCCGGGCGTGCACATAAAGGTTAAAAAATAATTTTTTTTTAAGAAAAATAATATGCTGAAATAGAAACATGTGCTGTAGCGATTTGCTTTGCCAAGTAAAACGGTGGGCATAATTTTTCTAAGCAAACATTTTTGAATGGTTCTCATAGCAATAATTTCAAGTAATAATTTTCGGGTCGAAGTCGATTTAAAAATTTTTTCAAATTTTAGAAATTGAGGTTACCTGGAAAGACCCTTTTGGATAAAAACAATGCATTTTTCATTGTTGTTGGAAAGTAGCTAACCTTAACACCAAAAGCTCTCATGACCCGAACCGAAATGTTATTGTGAATGTTTATGTCAAATTTTAAATCAATCGAATAGCACATTACGAAGTTAGAATATCCACCGTTTCGAGAACCGTTTAACCTTTAGAGGATTGGCCCGGACCATTTCGGATTCTGAAATAAAGCCAAAGATTATACGCAACATGTCCTGTTTATAAATCTATAAATTTACAACATCGAAAAACCATTATTTTTAGGCGAAAATGCCGGCCTTCTAAGGGTTAAACTTTTGATACATCTACTCGAGCGTACTGGAGATCAACTTGCGGAGAAACGCGACTTATTTTTCTGAAGCGGCTCTGTAGTTATAAATTCGACAATAATTCGAATTTCGATTTCGAGTCTATTCTAAACTTCCACATCAATTGAAGTCTGCCAGTCGACGACTTTTTTGCTCGTGGTAAGGGACTTGGGGGCTGAACTCCGAACTAACGATATAACGCGATACGCTAGCACGTTTTGTAAATGGTGCTACGTAACATAGACCCGCGAAAGAAAGGATATATTACATAGCACCATGTCCAATACGTGCAAGCGTAGTGTGTAACATTGCTAAACATATTGTTAGAGTCCAGCCCCTGTTTTAGAAGCGTAACATCTTAACATGCTATTTCATTTGTCCGACAAAATTTTTGTCAAACGACAAAACCAATGCAGTAGCACTATGGTCTTGGTACGAATTTTACGCAATATAGGGATACAACAGTTCATATTGCTTGCTACAACCCTGTCGAGCGCAAAAGAGAGATTGGCAGATTACAAAGGGGCGAAGCGTGTAGTTCCAACCTGTTGCCAAAATTGAGATTCTACTGTATTTAGGATGTGTTCCAAAATTTACTAACAGTCCTGTGAAAGTAATTACATCTCTCTCAGATGAATAAAGACACAGCGTTGGTCGCAGTACTGGCAGTATATTTCGGAATATATTCTTAGACTACCAAAACAATCGTATAGACTTCAATATTTGTTTTTGAAACAAATGCTCAAAGAATATCCCGTAATGTGTCGCCAGACAGCACTTTAAAATATTACTTTTTGAACAAATAACTATAAAATTACCTAAAAATGTATGAAAGATGTATGAAATGAAGGGAAAACTAATAAAATAATTTTTTAAGCAGGTTAACAGTGCCATCTCTCGTGAAAAAAAAGGCCAGACGGCGTTTTCTTTGAGCATTTATTACAAAAATTGTTGTATCTAGCTATTAAAAAATGAGTATAAGACTCGTGTAATTGATGCACTTGCCTAACGGATCGTATACCGAACTTCGCACTCATGTTTTATACTCATTAATATTAGACAGATAAAATACTATTTTCTATTTGAAGGAAAGAATTTTTGGAGTCAGAAAACAGTAAATCTTTGGATTTCGCTTCGTCCAGTAATACTTTCAACCTCCCTGATCCGCTCGCTCGCATTTGACATTAGTTTATTGAAACTGACAGCTGTCAAGTTTCATTATCCGTAAAAATGGGGGGAGGGGGGAGGTTGCATCGTCTATGAATAATCTTGTGGCAAATCGTTGACATTTTTTGAACAATACACAAATATCTAGATTCATCGTTCCAATGTCTTATTATCTGAAACGATCTTTCCTGATATCAAAAGACTCGGTCGAGTCTCGCGCCAAATATAGGCAACCCGCCGTACAAGGCACGGCCCGCCGAAACTCTTCACTCGAAGCATCTGTTGTACCTATGTTTCAACTCAAATATCTTATCAACGGCAATGTGTGAAAAAAAAAAGTTATTGATAAATTCACTATAGGAATCGAGGGTTCTGAATTGATTGCCACCAAAATCAATGAGATTGATTTACGAGATCAGAGTGCATTGAGATGGCGAGCAAGATGATTTTATTTCAGGTCTGTCGTCGTCGTCGTCGTTGTCAGCTTCGCACGTCCTTCTACTTTTTACATGAAAGATGGCGCTGATTGCTTTGCCTTCTTTACCTATTTGTACTCTGGATGG